GGGCGGCGGCCCCTCTGAACCCGCACAGCTGGCAGCCGAGGCAGGAATGGCGGGTGGAGGGGCTCGGCTTCCGGTGGAGGTGGGGGAAGGCTGGTTGGAAGTTTCTCGTTGACTTTCTCAGGTCCAGTGAGGGCATTTCATGCAGCAAAGCCATGCTGGCAGTTGTCAGTATCAATGTCTTTTTACACCCGTGACCTCTGTCCATCTGGAAGGAGTGCTGGAGGAGGAGCGGGCTGTGTCCCCGAGGCCCCAGGCCACTCTCGCCCGGCTGAGCAGCTGCCCCCACAGCAACTGGAGGGCAGTGGTCACTGGCAGAGACTGGGATCTGCAGAAAGCAGGAGCTTCTGCTTCAGAGCTGGAGATGGCAGTGTGTGCGGGGAGCCCAAGAAATCACATCCGTGTGGGACCCAGACCAGGGCCCTGTGGTCAGTCCTCTCCCAGGGACGGCGTGGCTTGTGGGCAGTGCTGCTCCCTGTGGCCACTCGGGCACCGTGAGGGCGCCCTCTCCCCCTCTGAAGCGCCTCTGCAGCATCCAAGGGCACTTCCTGTCACCTGAGCACTGCCCCGGCCTCAGCAAGGCTCGCAGTCACCTCTACAGGAGAGAAGGGACGTAGGGCCTCAGCAGTTGGCACCGGATCTGGGTAACGTCAGTTCATTCACGGAATCGACGTGCAACCATGTCCAAAACTCTGAGAGAATCCGAGACACCCGTTCACTCGTGCAGTTTACACTCAGTATTGTTGTGTATTAGTTTTGGGGGTATAGCACCGTGCTTAGACATTGGTGCAACTTACGACGCGGCCCCACGGTATCTCTGGTGGCACCACACGTGGCTATTACGGTAAAACTGACTGCATTCCCTGCGCTGCACTCACGTCCCCGTGGCTGCGTGGCAGCTGCCAGTTTGTGCTTTGTTCCTCCCCGTTTCACTCAGTCCCACGACGTCATTACTGTTACAAGCAAGGGAAGTCACGGGTCCATGCCAAGGGTGTGTTCTGGTGTGTGGCTGCATGCACGCACGCGTGGTCTCACAGGGGAAGGCGGCAGGTGGCTCCGAGGTGCAGCGGGGCCTGGCTCAGCGTCTGTGGGTGCAGTCCCCGCACCAGCTTCAGGGCGTGAGTGTGGAGGTGCTCCCTAGGGGGCTGGGGCGTCTCAGATTCAGCCCTGCTGCAGATGCCGGGGCGCCTGTTGGGGTCCCACGGCTTGCATCAGAAGGAAATCTGTTTAAAAGGTGAAAATGAAAAAGACGCACTTTGGGCTCCATCCCCTCTAGGTTCTCAGAGACGGAGGCTCGTGCCCGCGCTGTCCCTCGACACCCCCTCCCCTGTGAGGAAGCCCGCCAGCAGCGCCGGCGTCCGCTGGGTGGACGGCCCCTTGCGCAGCAGCCAGCGGGGCCTCGGGGAACCTTTTGAGATTAAAGTCTATGAAATCGACGACGTGGAGCGGCTGCAGCGGCGACGAGGGGGCAGCAGCAAGGTGAGCCGCCTCCCCTCCACAGGGCGCGGTCCCCCAGCACACCCCCGGGGCAGGGACTGGGCTCCGAGGGGGTGCTCGGGCCCAGGGTGACCCCCAGCAGGCTTCTGAGGTGGGTGGGAGGCCCTGGCCCAGCACAGGACTGTTGCCCAGGGTTTGGAGAAGGCCATGTTCCCCTGTGTACACACCTTCAAGGCTCCAAGGTTAGGGAAGCTGGCAGTGGCAGGGGCTTTCTGGCTCCTTCTGTATTTCAGACGTGCCTGCGACAGTCCTGTGCTTGGCTGGCTTGTCTGAGCTGCCTCTGTGGCCGCCCAGGTGCCTCCCAGTGACCAGCTCACGTTCCAAGGGCTCTCTGCTTAAGCAGTGCTTTCTAGCAGAGGGCGGGCGGGCTGGGTCTGAGCTGAAGGCTCTTTTCTCCTTCTCTCCACCAACCCGCCAGGAGGTCATGTGCTTCAATGCGAAACTGAAGATCCTGGAGCACCGGCAGCAGAGGATCGCCGAGGTCCGCGCCAAGTACGAGTGGCTGATGAAGGAGCTGGAGACCACCAAGCAGTACCTGATGCTGGACCCGGACAAGTGGCTCAGCGAATGTAAGGCCCGTGGCTCGGTCCCGTGGTGACACACGCAGGCTGTCTCTGCGCCGGCGTCCAAGGGCCTCTGATGCCCGTCGGGGGAGGCAGTTGTGCCGAGTGCACAGCCCCTGCTCTGGGGGGGCGAGCGGGGTGGTGGTACTTGTGCAAGGTTACTGCTCACCTTGCAGCAATCTTTGGGTGTCTCAGGCCAAAGCCCCTGTGAGTGAGATTCGCCCGACCCTGACCCACCGGCATGCGGTGGGGGGTCACCCAGACACGAAGGCTGAATTGCAAACCTGCTCCCGGTCCACAGAATCATACCTCGTATCTAGGCCTGAAGCAGACAGGAGTCTGTGGAGCTCTTACCAGGGTAGAAAGCACGGTTTTAGAAGAGCCTCGCGGAAAATCCAGAAAGCAAGAAAAACATTTCTGAGCGAAAAAGAGTAACATTCACAGTGTTGTTTCCATTTACCAGGAAGCCCAGAATGACAATAACCATCTGATCACAAATCTGTCCTCGAAAGACGGATTCAACTATCTCTCATGTATTCCTCCCGAACTGTCCGTTTACCACAAAACGATGCTCTAATTTGGTCCCAGCTACCACGCCGAGAGGGGACCTGGTGCAGGAGGACAGTGTGAGGAGCCTTAGGTTCAGGGAGGACAGGCGAAATGACAGTGGGTGAAGAAGAAAGTGACAGACGTTCTGGCCTCCCCACTGGGCCCTGCCACTGTGAGTCTGTCTCCCGGTGGCTTCTCTTCCATATGGATGAGGTACTGGCACCCAGAGGGCAGCCTTGTGACCAGTCTGTGGAGCAGCCAGTCCTGCAGACCCAGGCTGGATGCTGGCTTCCCCACAAATGCACTGTGGGTAAGACAGATGCGTGACCTCTCTCAGCCTCGGTTTCCCAAACCACAAATGGGAGACGTGAATGGCCCCTGTTGGGCTAGGCTGTGAGGGGTCTGTCAGCCACTGCTGGTCAGACGCTGCTACACTGCCTGGCCCATGGAGAGAGCCCAGCATCTGGTACTAATTACTACTATTATCATGATCTCAGACTGCGACTCAACAGGAGACCTTAGGTGCCTCCTCGCACGAGGCCCCGGGTCAGCCCTGTGTTAGAAACCTGAGCAAAGATGTGGGCTCCTGGGCAGGGTGTGTCCCCCTGAGACAGGGAGGCAGCGGGGGATGTGAACCAGGGTCTGAGCGTGGCGCACGCAGGGAACCCCAGGCCCTCGTAGGTCCCGGGGGCGACCACCAGGGCCGCGCCCCTTCAGTTTCCCTGTTCCCGTGAAAACTGCGGTCTGGGAGCCGTGTGCCCAAGGCGGCCTGAAAGCCATCTTCGGTACAAACCAGAACTTCTGTCCAGGATGGGAGCGAACTTACCTGTCAGCACGTAGCGCAGCTGCTTCCGGGGACACTGGCTGCCTTCCTGCGGTAGCTCATGGCAGGAATCGGCGAGCTCTCTGGCGTGGAGGACAGGAGCGAGCAGAGGCCCCGTGAGGGGAGAGACACAGCGAGGGTCTTTACAATGAGCTGAAAACAGGAGTGGCCAAAAATACACCCGTGAGGTTGCATGCTGACTGTTCCCTGGTGGGGGTCACAAGCAAAGGTCTGGCGGGGAAATGTATGTTCTGGCATTTGTTATTTTTAAATTCTGACGCCCCTTTCGAGGTGGTCCAGTTGTGTGCCCGACTGGTTGGTCTGTAAGTATTAGGAGGGCACCCAGGGGACCGTGCTCTCAGCCCCAGCACTTGTCCTCACTGACGGCCTCACCCTTGGCAGGTCCTCTCTCCCCACTCCACCTGTCAGCTCACCTGCACAGGGCCAGCCCGGAGGACCATCCTTGTTGTCTCTGCAGCACGTGACAGGGCTCAGGCCACCGTCGTGACCGCAGCCACTGCACTGCGGCGGGGTGGGCGGCCGTGACGCACTGTCCACCTAGGGAAACAGAGGCAGCAGAGGTTAGAGGCTGCCCACCTGGGGGTCGAGTGCAGGTCTCCTCGGATCTCCACGCTGTCCACACCGTGCCGGGGCCCTGAGTGGCCCTGGGCCCTCTGCCCAGTGACCGCTGGACAAAGGAGGGGATCTGGCACCACGGGGCCTGAGCATTTGGAACAGCAGCTGCGCCCTGAACCTCTGCTTGTCTGCTGAGTGCAACAAATCTTAATTATTAATATAGCAATCAGCCACTATTAATTAACTGTAATTGGAATTACTAGTTAGTAATATCATCATCACCGTAGTTTCCCAGTGACCAGTGAGCGTGGAAACTGAACTGGAAAGTGCCAGCAGACAGAGTCTGTCTCCCCACCCACGTGGCGGGGCAGCTGCCTGGCCAGCGAGGGCCCGAGAGGGGCACATACTTCACCTGTGGAAGCAGAGGTGTAATGGCACTCAGGTGAGGCCCCGAAAGGAGGAGACCCTCCCCACCTCAGCTGGAAGATGCATTGATTTTGTAGCTCATTAACTGTGCTGAGGGAGGCTCGTGTCTGTGATAGAGATTGGGGGGGAGCTTCAGTGTCACCTCACACCCCAGTAGAGTCTCAGTGAGATGTTACAGATCTAAAACTCTACTTGGAACGAAGGGCCCCCAGCATCGTCACAAATACTAAACGGAGTTCCGTCCTGAACCTGAGAGACAGCGAGGCGGCGTGCCAGGCAGGAGGGGCCACGCGGCGGTTCCAGACCTTCCAGCGGAGGGGCAGGTGCAGGCCACCTGTCCCATCGGCCTCTCTGTCTTTGCAGTTGACCTGGAGCAAGTTTGGGAGCTGGATTCCCTGGAGTACCTGGAAGCGCTCGAGTGCGTGACGGAGCGCCTGGAAAGCCGCGTCAACTTCTGCAAGGCCCACCTGATGATGATCACCTGCTTTGACATCACTTCCAGGCGCCGGTGAGGGCCGCCGGCCAGCCCGCAGGCTCCCGGGACACCACAGCCAGGCGCGCGCCCCGGGCCCGGCGGCGCTCAGAGACCACAGCATGAGGATGAAGGTCAGTGGCAAGTCTGCAGTGACGTCGAGCGGTTTTGTTTTCTGTAGGAAAAGCGCATACACTGAATGTGCATGGGAGGAGAAAACGATGGGAAGCCCAAGGGATGTGGAAGCCCCGTGAGACTGAAAAAGCACTTTGAGGAACTTTCTAGAACTCGTGTGTACATAAGAACTGCTGGCAAAAGAGACCTCTCCCTTTCCCTGCTTTTGTGAGGAAGGGCGAGGGTGGACATGGGGTTGCTGTCGAAAGCTCCAACAAGACACCAACGGAATACTACCCAGAAAGACTGATCAAGTGCCTTGCAAAATCTTTATTATTATCCAAACATTTATGTTCATACTTTCTTGTGTACAGATGGTGCTAGTCAAAATGCAAAAAAAAAAAACAAAAAAAAACCCAACAAAGCAACAGAAATGAAAAGCGAATGCCTTTTCGACATGTACTTACGGCCCCTTTTCTCTTGGTGTTTTATCCCGTTTCGGACTTGCTGTTTCTAAGTAGGTTGTGTTTGTAGCGCTCTTTCCTAACCAGTGTTGCATATGAATAAATGTTAACTGTCTCTCACGGTTCCTCTGGTGAGGCCGCTCAGGCAGGACATGGAGGTGTCACAGGCACAAGCCAGTGTTTTTCCAAAGAAAGCTGGATCGGCCGGTGGCGTGGATGTCCCCTCTTGGGCGGCACTGTGGGCGGGCAGTGTCAGAAGGGCAATCCCGGTGCAGGCGCCCGAGAGCTAGCAAGGACGTGGGAGGAAAGGCTGCGTCGGTACGTCGGTACGGGAGGGGAAGGAGCCCGTGTGAGCGAGCCCTGTGGGTGGGACACTTGTCCCGTGTGCAGGCCCCCTCCAAGTCCTCGAGCACGTTCCGCTCCCTTTAATGCATTAATCCGGAAGTTCCATGGCCTTGCACACACTTCCATACTCATTCTCGTTCCAAAGAAGCTGCATCGAAAGCTCGGCGAAGTTACCAGAGCCGCAGTCTTCCCACTGTGGTCTTGGGAGCTTATTCGAGCTGGGATCCTGTTCAGCTCAGAGACGTGCCGGGCTCGGCTGTGCTCACAGAGGCCAGCGAGTTGCTTTGCATCCCCACTTTCCGCTGTCCAGAGCGCTGCTCAAATGTCAGATGGTTCCTGCTGTCCCAGGTCCCAAAGCCTCCATTCACAGCAAAGGGCCAGGCTTTTCCCCAGCCCTGGCACCCAGGCAGAGAGGCTTCCGGCCACAACCTAAAGATCCCAGCACTTCTTACCCAGCAGGTGGGCATGCAGGTCTTGGCTTCCAGAAACTTGAACCTCATTCCCAGGTTAAGACGTCCACGCTCACCTGAGTGATGGACCCCCACGGGGTGGAGGAGGGCTGTCTGAGACCAGCTGTGGAGCAGCAGCGGTGCCTTCCGGGCAGGGCCCTGCACCCCACCTGCGGAGGGGGCTGCGCGGGCTGTTATGCAGGCCTCCGCCCTCAGACGTGGCCCATCTCGTGAGCCCACTTCCACGCTTCACTAGCGAACCCCCCAGGGAAGAAACACCTTTGCACCTGCCAGTTCGCCTCTGGGTACTGGGGGCCCTGCGCCGCTTGGCTGCACTCGGTCTCAGGGGAGCTGAGACCTTGGGTTTCGCAGTACCCGGTCCTCCCCTGGTCAGAATGGTGCCAGGGCTGCTCTAGAACAGCCCGCCCGCCCCTCTGGGGTCATGGGCGTGTCTGCCTCCTGCAGGAGCGGGGCCCCGTCTCCTTCCCCACTGCCGGGTCCTGCAGGGCCCAGGTGCCGTAAGGCCTCTGGTCTCTCAGCACTTCCGTGAACGGGCCTGTTCGACAGCAGCATCATGAAAGCGTCGGGACCCCAGGGGAGCCCGATCTTTTGAGTTTGAGTTTTCCACTCGGTAGCCCTCCTGGTTGCTGGTTTGAAATACAGGGCCTGGCGCAAATAACGCCCCTTCTAAATTACAGTCCTAAGCCTGTAATTCGGTAACATAGTGTCACACTCTAGCACACTGTGTGACATTTTAGGTGAGATGTTCAAATTAAAACTATAAATTATTACGCCCACATCATTTACCTGAACAGCCACACTCAAGCAGGCGTTACTTCTGCCGGACCCCGTATGTTGCTTCATGATAAGCCTTTGATTTGGGGGCTGTCAAAGGTGAGTATTCTGGTCTTGTTGGAAGCACACTGCTTTGATAGCTGTCGGTGCCTTTGGCTCATGTCCCTAGCACATCTCCTCAGCCCAGAGGTCACCGCACTGGGCAGAAGTGCTTGGAGGGCCGGCCACAGGGCCTTGGACGCTAAGAGAACAGCTACAGAGACTGGAAACCCTGTCAGTAGTACCTTTCCCAGGGAGGGTGGGGGCTCAGCTCACCTCCCCTCCAAACCAGACATTGTCCCTCTCAAGCACCTTCAAGAGACAGCAAAAGGGATGAATGAACCAGGCGCTTACCTAGCTGAGGCGGCCTGGCCTCCGACGAACGCCACACCGTGCACCTGTCTGCCAAGGCGCAGGAGGACGATGCTTGAAGGCTGTCCCCTCTGGTGTTTTATCCTCCTCTTTCAAACCTGCGTGAGCTGCAAACACCTTCACACACTGAGCACTGAGTAGCCGCGTGAGGAATCACAGCTCTGAGCAGCACCGATGTTCGTTCCTGGTCTTACCTGAGTTGACGGTCCAGGAGGCGGTCCTCGGTCCCAGAGGGAGGCAGGCTGGCCGGTCATTCCGAAGCTGTCTCAGTGCCCGGGGGGGGGGTCACTCCGTCCCCTCGGTGGCCGGTGTGAGGTAGGCCCCGATCTCCTTTTGGTTTCAGTGACAGAGAACCCAGGAAGGCAAAGGGGTGTCGAAGAGCCTGCCTTCACTTCATTGTCTGCAAATGAAAGGACCAGAAAAACATTAATTTGAAATGAACATTCAGACGTAGAAGCCTCGATTCTTTGCCTGAAATCTGCCCCCACCCCCAATAGTTTAGTGTGAGGGGGATGCGTCAGCAGCAGGTTCTGGAGGCCGAGACTCAGGTTCAGAACCGGGAGTTGCGGTCCTGTTCCCAGGAGCGAGTCCGTATTGTGCATTGCACCAGGTGTTTCAGGCTGTGATGAGCGGCCAGGGGCTCCACCCTGGGCTTTCGTCGCCACCCGAGAGCTGCACCCTTTCATCTCCTTGTCCCCAAATTCTCCTCTAGGTCCCCAGAAACCTGCCTCAAACTTTCATCTCTGCCAGATTTGAAATCGGAGCCCTGTCTGTCATTCTCTAAGAGCTACTCTGAAGGTGGGGAACTTGGGACATAAACGTAGGGGTCAGCCCAACACGGAGGCAGGCAGGGACCAAACGAGGGACCCTAAGCTGGGGAGGGGACAGAGCCTGGGATTCAGGGCCATGCAGCTCAGCGTGGGGGCCACGGCAGGCAGGGATCTGGCCCAGTTTGTCATCAAGCAGCCTTGGGCTTACAGAATTTGTTCTGGGCCAGCTTCCCTGCGCCCCAACCCCACCCAGGACTCGGGCCCAAGCATCCGACCCAGATGCACACACAGCCCGCGCTGGTTCCCTGGTTTCCCTTCGTGCCGAGCAAGCAGCCCTCCTCTGGGCTTCGGTTCTCACGCTGATCGTGAATTCTCACTGCTGTTGGTGTCTGAAAGCCGCTGCCTGGCCTGGGCTCCTGGGGTTAGAAGGCTGGCCAGAGGCCCAGAATTAACCTGGCTTAACACACAGTCACCTGTGTCATCAGCGGCCACTGACCCGTCACTTCCAAAATAACGATGTAGTGAGCGTTAAGTTCCTCATGCTAAAAAGGATCTTAGACTGTAAGAGAAATTAGTAAAAGGTGCGTTTGTCTCAAAACCAGAAGAAGACATGCACTTATCTGTGGCTCTTTCCTGCTGGAATACTGGCCCACGCTCAGAGCACCCACTGAGATTCCCTGACTTTGAAAGGCAGCGGTTTTACCCCCTGAACCCACACCGGTGAGAAACACATAGAAAGTCCTGTTCACGCCTGGCCGACGCTGCATAAACCATTCCCACTGTCCCTGGGGTGAGGCCAAGACAGAGGGACACTCTTCACTGCTGTTACCCGTGAGCCCTGCCTGCCCCGAGGGAAGCCAGCGCAACTCCTCAGGTCCATGTGACACTGAACAGGACAGTCGGTGTCCCAGACACTGTCCGTCAGGAGACTAAAATGTGGGGGTGGGGGGGGAAGGACATGAGGTAGAAACACAGTGTTTCCTTGGACAGTGCTGCTCTCTCTCCTCCTCCCGCAAATCCGTCAACATCCAGAGAAACTCGTAAATGCTGTCACTTAGCGTTTTCCTGAAAAAGGGCTTTTCCAATTACGAACCGCTTATCACTTCCAGATAAAAGTGTAATTCCAATCCAGGAGAAGCTCTTATAATTCAAACAGACCTTGTCAAAGTCATTTGAAAACCCTTACCTAGAACAAACATGTTCTGTTCTTGGTGGCTCATCTTGGTCGATGATGGGCGTGGTGGTGCCCGGGGGGTGTGGAGCCTTCGCTGCGTCTAACGGACCTTCTCTAAATAGAGCCGCGTGGTGGCCGTGTGCAGGGGGTGACGCTCAGAACCGGGGAGACTCACTGGTGCGTCCTGCATCCTGCTAACCAATATCCCTCAGGGTCACGTTCAATTGATGAAGACACCCCAATGGAGCTGTGCACTCGGCTATCACAGCACAGCTTGTGCTTCACGCTTGACCTGCTCCCTTACGGTGGGAGCTGCCGTCCGCAGCGACGCGTTGATGTGTGAGTTTGGTGGTCTGTGGCTGTGTTTCCCCTCACTCGTGCAAGACCTGGGCCAGATAAATCCATCAGGAGAATGGGGGTTAGGGTCCAGCCCTCAGAGTCCTGGGCCCAGGTCAAAGTCTAAGCCATTTCTGTAGTAAGTAGCTAGAGGGAAAAGGCCCCTTCATTTTGAACTTGGTGATTATGGGCTTGAAAGTCGGCCCGGGAGGGAAGAGGACCCACTGCCTGCCTGCTGGTACAATGGTAAAGTCTGAGAAAAAAGCAGACAATGTTAGGTTCCTACATTTTCCTAAAAGTCCCCCGCCCGCATCAGGTGGGGATGTGCCCACCCCGCTGATGGTCCGAAGGGGGTTTGGAAAAGCAACTGGAGTTTCTTCCTGTGCATATATACAGTACTTTTTTTTTTTTCTGGAGAAACCAAAGCACTTTAGTGAGTCTTACAGCCTGTAATACTTAAGGCATCTTGTCCCGGAACTGGGTGTCTGGAGGTGGGGAGTGGCTGGGGTCCCAGTCTCCTCTGACGGGCACCTAAATGTTGGGGGGGAGCCTTGAGCTGGGGGTGAGGACGAGAGGTGAGAGGCCTGTTCTCCTCACCTGCTATGCAACCCTGGACTTCGCTTCGCCGAGCCTTGGGCTCCCCAGTGGACGGCTGGGTGGGGGTCACAACAGCCGCTCCCCGGGAGAGAGTGGAGAGAGACCGGTGTAACTGGTGAGAAGTACTTCGAAGAAATCACAGCTCCGCTAGGGGCTGAGGGTAATCGTGCATCGGTGAAGAAACTGAAGTCAACCGCTTGGCCCAAGTCCACGGCAAGTTTTCCAGCAGCACCGGGACCCGAGTCCAGCAGCCTGGACCCTTCCCACGAGGTGCTGCCGTGCTGGGTGTGTGCACTGGTGAGCACACCCCACACTATGTGCCGACGCGTGTGTGCGTGGGGCGGACGGGGATGCATGTGTACAGCAGGTATGTGGCATGGCCAGGCGCGCAGGACAGGAAGCCCGAGTTCTCACTCCGGTGTCCACGGTGGTCCTACGGCTCTGGGTGGTCGCCCCACCTCCCAGAACCTTCTAACCTGTAGATGAAGGCGTTGCGCTCAGTGGTCTCTGGCTCCTTCGGCTCCAGTGATGCGTGCGTGTGCATGTGTGTGTGTGTGTAAATACACTTTTCTGTGGAAATGGGCCCATCTGGACGCTGGGGGCCGGGCCTGCCCAAGTGTGTTTACTGTGCTGGGAACGGAAAATGCACAAGCAAGTCTGTGAAGTCCTGTTTCAAACTCCAGTCCTAGTGTTCGGTGTCGTCGTTTGAAATTCACTGTGTACCTGGGTGACAGAACACGCTCTTAGCTTTGAAGTGTTTGCTGTTAAGATGTTTCCACCAAGTCCATCTGTCGAAGTCAGAAGTCCAGCGACCTGCACGCGGGCAGGTCTCAGCGGCCTGTTCGCTGGCTGTGGCGTCCGGGCCTCCACGTGGCCTGACTCCGCACGAGTCGGCTGGCAGCCTGGTCGTGCTGTGTGTGATTCCTGCGGGCAGTCTGGGGACAGAAGTGGCAGCTGCCCAAACTGGCGACGTGACTCCATTAAGCTGTGTGCCATTTCCGGTGTGAAGGTGTTGTTTGCTGGTATATGAGGTGTACACTGTTGTCAAAAAAAGAATCTGGTGTTAAAAAGGAATCAAATTATGGTGGCATTAAATGTTCACTTTTATCCTGCTAAGACTCATGAATTCCTCTTTATCCAATGCATCCTGCTGTGTGGGGCCAGAGCGGGGGCACGGTTCACGGCCTGGGGACGGGTTTCTCTCCAGCAGTGCCCCAGCCAGGGTCTTCCTCCCAGGCCCTAGGGACTTTCTAGAAGAGGCCTGTCGGGCTGCACTGTGGGGCTGGCCTCCGACAAGGTCAGAGGCTCGTCTGGGGTGGGTGGCAGTGGGGCTGGGTCACAGCCCTGGCACCGCTCTGCGTCCCCGAGTCAGGCACTGGACTGGTGGTCACACATGACAAGTGGCAAGAAGCTTGGTGTTGACGTGATATTTTTGCTGGCCTGGTGACACCCCGAGTCCACTGTCTTTGGGGCCCTCACAGAACTGAAGCAGATCTCTGGGTTCTGGACGCACGGCCCCTGTCACCACGGTGCTTCTCTCACTTGTAACTGGGTACCCCCAGGTAAGCAAGCGAAGCAGATCAGAAACTGGCAAAAGGCCTCCTGGGGCGGCCCTCAGCCTCCCTCAAGGGCAGTCTGTTCCACCAACCACAGACGACTTTCCAAAATGCGGTACCACATCCATCCAATCAACTGAGCGCTCCGTGGTCCTGAGACAGAGGCCAGGGGCTGCTCAAAGCAAAGAGACACCACTCCTGGCCTGGACAGGCCCCCGGGCACCCCACGTTCCTTCCCCCGAAATCCCAGCCACACCCTTGTGGGCTCCCATGGAGCCAGTCCAGCAGAAACCATGGGTTCTTTATTTATCCCACCCAAGGACATCGTTTTCACTGCTCTAGCGAGAGAGGAAGGAAGAGGGAGAAACACCAGTGTGAAAGGGAAGCACCGGCTGGTTGCCTCCCATCCGTGCCTGGACCAGGGACCGTACACACCCAGACCCGGGTTGCACATGCCCACGCCTTGACCGGGAATCGAACCCACAACCCTGTGGTCACAGGATGATGCTCCAACCAGCTGAGCCACAATGACCAGGGCCAGATGCCCTACATTCTTAAGAAGCCATAAGGGTTTTCTAGAAATAATGCCTTTAAAGAACAGCAAGTGGAGGTCCCGCTTAACCCTGGGGTCTCCCCCAGAGCGAGGAAGAACATGTGGGCAGCCTCTAGGACAGGCTCCAACCCCCTCCCTCTTCCCTGAGGGAAAACCTGGCCAACATCTGACCTGAGGTGTATTGGTCTCTAAAACCATAAAACGCTCAAAACTGCTATTCGCATATTTATGCTTTTCATCCTTTCAATCCTGTCGTCTCGTCCTCGGGGGGACACTGACACTGTCCACCCTGCACACTCTTCCAGGTGCCCCCGGGGACTGGAAGGATGAGAAAAACAAAGCCAGGTGATACCATTTCCCAGCACGACAGACTGGCGGGCCTGCCCCTGCAGGAAGCAGAGTCCCCTTTCGGGCCTGAGGGCCTGCCATTTGCACTCACTCTGCGGGCTGAAGTCTCTAATTCTAGAAAACGCTTACAAACATACAGGGGACTCGGAGCATCAATACTCCCAGCACCCACGGGTGCTGTGATGTCTCTTGCGCCTCTACATAACCAGCATCAAGAACAGAGCCTGGATCACAGAGGGGACTCAAACAGTGTCAGCTGAAGGAACGAACAATGAGATAAACCTGGGAAAGAGGAGGGAACAGAAAAAACCAGGGCAGGCCTCTGAAGCATCCCTGAACCAAAGGACTAAAGGTCTGCATTTGCAAATGCCCAGTGGGGATTAACTCCCTCTTTCATAGGGGCATAGGGGCGCCAGGCAAGCCGGGGCGCCAGGCGAGCCGGGGCAGACCCACGCCCTTGGTTTACTATACACACAGCCTTGACCTCCCAACCGCTCGCCAGCCCCGGCCTTCAGGCCCCCAGAACAGCTTCTGGGCCGAAGATGAAGAGGGCTGTGTTCAAGCCCTGGGACTGCTGTGCAGTGTTTACGAGGGGGCCTTACTGAGTCTGTGCTCCCCCCCCCCCGCCGGACGCTGCTGCGGATTGTAGCAGACACCAGCTTCCAGAGCTCGGTGAGGCAGGCAAGACTGGCTGGCAAACAGAAACCCCGTTTCTGACGGGCAAACACCCCCTCCCTCCGTGTAGGGTGAAGGCTTCTCCCACCGACCCCCTGCTTCTGCCCCTTTACCTCTAATTGGGGCCCACGGCCAGTCTCACCTCCAGATGAGTCTCCTTGAGGCTGGGAGGAAGGAAGAGAGCAAGTAGTAATCAGTCACCCTGCAGGTCACTCCCCACCCACCCCCACAGGCTCCTGGGGCAGGGCCATCTGCTGGGGAAGAGGGGAGCTCCCAGGGCACCCCACCCGCAGCCACGCCCAACACCACTCAGTGGGGGGGCCTTCCAGCCCTTGTTCAGAAGTTTGCTCCCCGCATTTCCTAAGAGTCTAAGAAGAATCCAGGGGCTGAGAGGCTTAGGGAGTGAGGGGGGATGGTTGCCCCCCTCCCCCCTTTGCCACCAGGCACCCGGCCTCTCCAGGAGGGGAGGAGACCCAGGGGCCAACTGAGGGAGCGCCGAGTAGGGCTCAGGGGACACTGTTGTTTGCTCTCCATCTTCCAATTGTTAAACTGTCCTTGCTCCGCCACCCTCTGCACCCCACTGCTCCCCAGCGGTCACCTTGCCGGTGCTCAGAAAAACCGCAAAAGAAAGGCCTTCCGGCAGGACCACAGGGGTCCACGGACCCCCTGGGTCCCTGAAGGCCCAGCGAGAGAAAGGCCTTTCTTTCCTTTCTAACTGGACTTTTGAAATGCCAGAAATAGAAAATAAAAATGACCTTAAATCTCACTCCAGAGAGGACCACTCGTTATTTCTCTCTCTCTCTTTCTCAAACACACACACACACACACACACACACACACACACACACACACGTACGTTCTTTTATGAACTGGGCATCGTCCTGCACAGAGCCTTTTGGAATCTGCTCTCTTGCCTGAACGATCCGCCAGGCACACTTCTCTCCCCGCTGGCCACGTGCCCCACTGCCTTCCGAGTAACGGCTGCGGAACGTTTGGCCGGGCAGACGGGTGGCATTTAGGCACCATTTATTCCCTGCCACTGGACCTTAAAACCGTTTCCACTTTTTTGCTGTGACAAATTACCCTATAATAAACACACTGACCATAAATCTTTTTTCCCTCCCTGACGAGTCCCTGAGGATACATTCCGCGACATGAAATCGCTGCAACAGGAGGAATGAACACCTTGGTAAGGCGTGTTCTGCACACTGAGCGCGGCCGCATTCCAAATGGCCCGCCCCGGGTGATGGAACGAGGGAGTCCTCTCTTCCTCTCCAGCCTGCTGTGTCCTCGATTCGCTCATTTCTGTGTTCCTCAAATATATGTTAGGGAGTTCCAAAGTGGGGCAGCCCCAAGTTCTTAGCTATTGTGCTTCGTTCGTATCACGAGGTACGATGTGTTTGTCCCTAACACCGGGCTTCTGGGTGTGTAGGGACAGCAAAACTAGCCTCTCCTCTCTTCAGGTCTGTGGCCGGGGCTGAGAATTTCACTGACCTAAGACGGATTACCAGGAGAAAAAAGCATATAAATCTATCTTGGTTTTACAAGACATAGGAGCTTCGTGAAGAAATGAAGACCCAAGAAGGTGGAAAACAAGGTTTTTAGACCACGTCGAACACAGAGAGGCAATTGTGGAAAAGGAACTAAGACACAGGGGGAGGTTGGAGGAAGAGCAGACCTCACCAAGGTCTTCTGGGACACGCTTCTCTAGAGCCCACCTCCCGTGCTGGTGACAAGCACGGTTCTTTCCTCCTGGCACAGAGGACAGCTGTCACGTGGGAGTTCCTCTCCCATTTTCAGGAATAAAAGGCCCTTCTCGCCCCTGAGGTTTTTCAAGTACCTTTAGCTCAAAATAATCCTTAGGCCGAGGTGGCTCCTTTTGGGGTGGTGCATTCTGCAATTGCTCTCTGGGGGTGCCAAGGGGCCACGGAGCCTCGGTGCTGCCTGGCGGGCTGCGCTTTGCAGCTGACCTTGACAGAATCACTGAGCGTCTCTGGGCTCAGATTCCCCACCTGCAGGAGTGAAGCCTCAGCAGTCTTGCCTGGGTCCCCAGGCTTGTCTGCGGGTGAAAGAGGAGGCTACACACTGAAGTACGTCAGGTTCTGCCCAATGCTACCGGATGTAAAGTAGCAGCCTGACTAATTCAACCCGACAGCAACCCCTAGCTTCGTTATCCGCTCATTGTAACACGTGGGGGAACTAAACTACACCCCTCCAGCCACTGAGATCTGAAATGCAAAGACCGTATAAGGACACAGAACAGCCAACAGACCTCTTGTGAGATCTCCACCCTTTCTTACAAAGGTTTTCAATATCCCACCCCCCACTGAAAGCCCCCCAACTCCGATGAAATGAACCTCAATACAGGAAGCCAACCCTGCTAAAGGGGGGCCTGCTCCGCCTGGCGAGTAGCCACCTCCCTGCTTCCCTCATAGACTCACTTTCACTTTAAACCCTGTGCTGGCTCACGTTTGAATTCTTTCCTGCGCAAAGCCAAGACCCCACAGTGGGTTGCACACCCAGGGTCCCTGGACCCCCAGAACGCCTGCATCCAGCTCGCTACTCCAAAGGGAGACATTTAGGTTCAGGCCCCGCACCCCCACTGTTTGTTCGGAACACTTCACAGTAATTACCACCCAAATAACACACTGGGCTTCATCCGGCAGCTGCCATGCCAGGGCGAGGCCCAGAGGCTCAGCACACCGGGTCAGGTCCTGCACCTCGGAGGCGGGTGGGTGAGCAGTGGGTCACTACCCTGTCCCACCGCCGTCGTTCCTGTGAGGAATGAACGTGGCGTGGGCTCCGCCAACGCTCCTTCCCTGAGAAATGGTGGCTGACGGACTCGGGCCGCAGCTGAGCTCACACGCGCCAGCTGCAGGAAAAGGCAGGACCCCCCCCCACCCAGGAACGTGGGGCTACCCCAGATGGTCAGCGCCCATCCGGACCCACAGAGGCTGTCGTGGTCAGTGTTTCCCAGAGCTCGCCCCATGTGGCTCCCAAGGCAGGAAGGCGAGGTGGCCGGTGCGCGAGGGGCTGGTGTGCGAGGGGCCAGTGGGGAGTGTGCTCGCCCTTTAGCTACGGCCGCGCTTTGTGTCCGGAGGGCACCGGGCAGCAGAGGCAGCTGGGTGAATGGCAGTGGGGACGTGATTATAGCGAGCAGGCTGTCCCCGAAGCCCAGCCAGCACACGCTAACATACCTGCCCCCTCCTCCCTGCCAAAGGGCTCACTCTCCTCCGTGGGTGCCACTCAGCCGCCCTCCACTGGGTGTGGCTGGCAGCGCAGGAGACACTGGCGCAGTGCGGCCGATTCCTGGGAGAGCGTTTCACTCTGGAGGAAAAAGAAAACGTTTAGGCCTGAGAGATGGACTGGCCTTGAGGGGGTGCAGACCAGTGGAGGGCCCGCGCTTCCCATAAGAAGTGGAGAGGAGACGGGGCAGGGGGGAGAAAGGGGTCAGAGGCTGAGAGAAGACGCACTGCACCCTCGTCACCGTCACTGTCACTGTCAGCCCTGGCTGGGGCTTCTGCCCCCGAGAGTTACCTGAACTGACTGCGCCAACACCCCCAATTCCCACCTGGTCCCCTTTCTTCCCGTGGACGTATTTGGGGAGCCAGGGATAGAGAATATTTCCATTTACCGCCCCTCCTGCCTCCTCCCAATGTGCTCAGCACCCCATGGGTTTTAATAGGAAGGCGGAGGGTGTTGCAAAATGCCTGAACAAGCACATCAGCAGTCGTGGGTGCCGCACCAGCTCGGAGAAGGGAGGAGCGACTTCACGCCCCGGGGGCCCTGGCACCACCTCATGAGGTCATCTCGCTCCTGCAGCAGGTAAATGCTTGAGCTCTTTCCAGCTCAGGGGACTCTCTAGGGGAGGCGGCTTCTCCCTGTCCCTGAAGGCACAATGTAGGGCATTCAAACAGGACAGACAAGGTGAGGGACTTGGCCCCGGAAGTGGCAGCCCGCCCCACCCTCCATCTCAGGCTCCAGGGGGGTGACAGCCGGCCCCCTCCCCCACCGCATCATCCAGGGCAAGTGCATGGACTCAGCATCCCTCCCATATGCACCTCCCCCCCCAGCTCTGCTTCCTGGAGAGCCCTGGCTAACACGGGCTGCCTCCAGCCATGGCTGGAGGCGCCCTGTTCCTCTCCCGAGAGCTCCCTTTGGGAGAGGCCACTGGGGAAAACGAAAAGCCCTCACTGGGACCGTCCACAGCAGCAGCGAGTGCAGGAACCCTCCCTCCTTCCCGCACCCGAACTGCTCTTCTCCAGTTGCAAAGGAAGGGATCTCCAAGGTCCTTGGTGAAACCCCCAAAACATCGAAAGGAGGGTAAGTTGGGGATGCTGGAGTCTTCTCAACCCTGAGGGGAGCACAAATAGGCCCCGAGGGCATCTGAACCCTAACCAGGTCAGCTCAGCTTCACCCGACATGCCCCTCTGCCGGGAAGAGGCAGTGAGTAGTAACTCATGTTTATACAGCACCTGACACTCCGAGAGGTGCCTTCCTACTTATTACTGTCTTTGATCTTCGGCACCGCCCCGCTGAGGTCAGTCTTAGCTCACGCCCTTGGACGAGGACCAGTCATAGAGTGAGAGGGAAGGGAGAAGGGCACTCGAAAAAAACAGGTAGGACGGTTTGGTGGCTGCCTCATTCATGCTTTGTTGCACAAATATTTACTGGTTACCACGCCGGGTCAGACGCGCTAGAAGCTGGGGCGACAACTGTCACCCAAACCCTCACGGAGGTTACAGTCCAGCAAACACGTGCTTTGCTGTGTGCCGCTGCGAGGCACTGCTGGCCCGGCAAGAGCACATGCCAACCCAGCTTAACGGAGGCTTCCCAACCCTGAAAGATGCCCTCCCTCGTGCCGGCACCACTAGCACAGTCGTGACCACTCTCCCTCACTCGGTCACTGCCTACTTTGTTATCGTTCTCCCCGTTGGCCTAAGGACTGCCCAGGGACAGCATCATCCTCCCCCCAGCCCAGCAGAGGGTGGTACCTAAAGGCCTCCGTTCTTTAGGCACGTTCACTACTGATGACGTACTGTGAGCTAGGCTAGGTGTCAGGAGCTGAGGCTACAGAGAGGAAAGACATCCAGGCCCTTCGCTCCAGAGACTGGAGCTTTCTGGGGAGGAAGATAAATGAAGAAGCAATTTCTGTGATGTGATACGTGTTCGGGGAATGAACAGGCAGCCGAGTAGAGCAAAGGAAGACCAGGAAGAAGGAGCAGAAAGTTCCCGGGGCACTGGGGGAGAGAGGGAGGGGACTGCTGGGAGCTGGGCCTGGCTGGAGGGCAGGAGGCCGGCAGGAGGGACGTGAGGCTGGAAGCTCTGGTCCACGGCTCTCACTGGCAAGCACGGGCTTGTGGTCGGCAAGGGCACTTGGCACTGGTGGCGGGACTGCACTGGTTCTGCCCTTGGATCTCGTGGTAGAAAGTCACAGAATCCCCAAATGCCCAGGTTGGAAGCCAACTCCGAGGTGATTTACTGAGTCTAGTTGTCCGTGGATTCGGAGGGGATTCCCCAAGGTCACAAAGCTTAGGGTCCAGATGGGACACAAGAAGTCACCTGTCCTGTTCTCTACATCACACGGCCCCGGCCACGCCTGCACTTTCCATAATCTCTTGTGTCTCTATGAGGCTAATCTCCCCAAGTCAGGATCTTTGCCTCCCTTACAGAAAATTCTCAGGAACCTTCTAGCATGTCAGCAACTTACTCTCAAATAGTTCAGGGAAAAAGACATTTTTGTCCTGTACTTGGAACATTTCTGGAATTTTGAGATTGTTTAAAAAAAATCCTAATAGGAATAAGCCCTGGCTAGTGTAGCTCAGTGGATTGAGCGCGGGCCTGTGAACCAAACAACCGCAGTTCGATTCCCAGTCAGGGCACGTGCCTTGGCTGCAGGCCAGTTCCCAGCAGGGGACACATGAGAGGCAACCACACATTGATGTTTCCCTTCCTCTCTCTCCTTCTCCTCCCACCTCTCTAAAAATGAGTAAATAAAATATTTTTAAAAATCCTAAGAGGAATAAGGTTAATGTATTTATCTGCTAGGGATGCAGTAACACAACCCTGCAGACTGGGGGCTTGAACAATAGAAATTTATTTCCCCACCGTCCCGGAAGCTGGAAGTCCAGAACCAGGGCGTCGCAGGGCTGACTTCCTCTGAGGCCTTTCTCCTTGGCTTACAGATGGGCTGCCTTCTTTTTTTTAAAAAATTTATCTTTAGAGGGGAAGGGAAGGAGAGAGGGAGAGAAATATCAATGTACGGTTGCCTCTCATGGGTCCCCTGCTGGGAACCAGCCTGCAACCCAGGCATGTGCCCTGACTAGGAATCGAACCGCGATCCTTTGGTTCGCAGGCCCATGTTCAATCCACTGAGCTGCACCAGCCAGGGTATAGCTGCCTTCTTGATGCCTCTTCAAAAGGCCTTGCCTCAAGCACCAGGAGTCGGGTCCTGGCAACTGATCACAGGTCAGGGCTCTGCACGCTCAGCTGAGTCCTCACTGTTAGACAGTGAGTTCTGGACTGTGCGCACAGTGCCCATTTCCACCAGCGCACAGCACAGGGCCTTGCGGAGAACAGATAGAGTTTCAGTGGGTGCATGGGTTCAATAGCCACGTAACAGAGAATCCAAAGTCTCTAGAGAAAGCCAGCCTAGCAAAGAAGTGGGCACTATTTCATCTTTCAGATGAGTTAGAAATGTGCGCTCTACCCAGAGAAAGCACACACGCACAGAGGGAGGCCAAGAGCACTGTTTTCATGTGGCCTTGGAGTGGGATGAGTGAACTTGGCCCCCACCTTGTAAGGATCCAGCCACCGTCCCGTCCTCAGTGTATGAAAAACTACCCAAGTCCCCGGGTGATGTCTGTTGACAGGACACAGTCAGTTTTCTTACCCGATTCTTGTTTCTCCTTCACATCCAGGACTGCGAATGCATGTCCGGCCACGCGGACATCGATGTCAATATCTGTTTCTAGAACAGATTCTCAGAAGGCGGGCCGCAGCTGACCTGCCTGACCAGCTCCGCATCTCACCAAACTCAGCATACCGCTCTGTGCAGGCGCATCCGAACCCTGAAATCTCTCCGACAGCAAAGCATTCAATGGGGGAGGCTCGTCACTAATTACCCGGCCAGACTTCCTCAGACTCTATCACACCAGAGGCCCCGGTCTCTCACAGCTAAGAAGTACAATGCCTACAGGAGAAATGAGACAATCCGAGTGGTGGATCCTTTGGGGGGAAAAAACAAAGGGAGGGAAGGGAGGGAGGGTAATTCCTATTCACTCACAGTGGGTCATGCTTCTTAACTCAGAGACAGGGGAACCCCATCCAGGCAGAAATAACCCTGTCTTCATTATCCCACCATCCAGGGGTGTCTCTGGTGATGTGAGTGCTTGTTTTCACGAGAGAAGATCAGAGCGTGTGTCTTAATAACACAATCCTCTTGTTCCTACTGAAATGCGACATTAGTAACAGTACTTGAGTGCAGTGTAACCCAGGGGGTGGCCAGGCCCCCTGCTGTGCTGTTAAAGACCGTTATTAATGCAAACCCCTTCAAGGGCTATAATTTGGGACTCGATTTGCCATGAAATTGTCCTGAGTGTCACCTTAGTCATCAGAGATCATGTGACCCATGACAAACACTGAGCTAAAAGATGGCACCTCTTAGAAATTAATGTCAAATTGTCCCCGATAGTACAGAGGACCTAGGCACTGCATCTGAAGTGAATCTTGTTGTGCCCCGGAGACAATGAGGGGCTCAGCAGGATGCGGGCGCCCCACCCAGCTGCCTCGAGCTGGGCCTACGGGGTCCCAGAGCAAAGCCCCCCGCCTTAAATGTCCTCAGTCTCAGCTCACCGGTCAACCCAGCACAACCTCACAGGCTGATTTTTAAGGGTGCTTTTTCTTTTTAACCCCGAATGTGCCCCAGCAAAGAATTTTCATTCTGATTCCAGATATGAAAGGCGGTTTAGATGTCAAGCCTAGTCAAACAAAAGGCAGTCGGGCTAAGTGTTAGGAGAACCCACATCTCGACCACCCGGAGACAGCACCTCACGCCGACCAGATGGCCGTCACCAAAGTCCACAAGGAACAAGTGAGGGTGAGGACGCGGAGAACAGGGAACCCTGCTGCGTGTTGGTGGGAATGTCCCACTGTGGGAACCAGTGCAGAGGCTCCTTAGAAAACTCAAAGTAGAACTACCACACCACCATTCCGGGCTCTTCACGCCCCTGAATCAACCAGAGAGGAAGCAGACTGCTGTGGCTGGTCTGACTGAGCCCAGGACCAAATGTCACCACACTATACGAAGAAGGACCGTATCTGAGCCCAGGGGCGCCTCTGAGGTGCATATCAGCAGTTGTTCGTCCAGGTTCACGGAAGACTCGAGTGACCCAAAAAGAGATGGACACTAGGGACTCGGACAGGTCAAGGTCAAAACTGGCATCGCTCCACCAGGTGCAGAACCTTAACGGGGCAAGGAGCTGGCTAAAGGCAGGAAGACCACAGAATGGCCCCAGAAGAATGAATTTTTAAATCGCAACTCAATTCGTAACCTGCTGAGAATCAAGAACGCAGGGAAGGTTGGCCACGTTTAACCTCACAACTGGACCCTCGTTTACCGTGGAGCAGAGTTCTTACGAGAGGTTTTGAAAATGTGATCCGACGGAACTCAGGGCAACAAATTAGAACAAAGTTAAAAAAAAAAGACAAACCGAGATATTAAATATTTCACAGTGGAAACCTCCCTAATATATAAAAAAAACTAAAGATCAAGAGAAAACCATCTAAGAAACCTGACAAAAATACACAAATGACACACAAAGATAATTCACAAAAGAGAGACAAAACACTTTTAAATATCTGAAAGCATCCAACTTCACTAATAAGAAAGGACAACGCGAATTTAAACTACACTGAAGGTACTACGCCTCGTGGATTAGCCTAGGAAAAAATTCAGAAGCTGAACAACCCAGTCCAAGGGCACGAGGAGGGGAGGGGGGAGGCCTGGTCACACAAGGCTGCTCACCATGCACCTGACAACACCGGTAAATTACATGGGCTTTCACCCTCTGACTCAGCAAGTCCGCTGCCAGGGAACGACCCCAAAGGTACGTCTCCAGCAACACCAAACACACCCCTTGGAAAACACGTGCACAGGGCCATTTGTAACAGCAAAATTCATGTTGATATTTGCATAGCGGCACAAATCGACAATGGGGCACACTCTACAGCTGAAAACAAAAAGAAACAAACCTAATTGGACGTGACATGGATGACGTGTAATCACAGAGAAAAGAATCACACAAGTGACTTTCGTTCTGACAACACGGCCTCGTTACTAACAACAGAGAGCGCTGGCTGGAAAAGAATCTCGGGCTTTACTGAGTAGGGGGCTTGCGGTGGGCAGCGGGCCCCGCAGAAACTCCACAATGACATGTGTGTGTCTGGGGGAAGCACCCACAGGGAAGGGGGAGGATGAACAGCGCGTTTGCTGAGTTCTAACTGGTGGTGTCTGTGTGAACTCGTGATTTTAAAAAGGCCCAGAGAGCAGTGACAGCCCAGTGACAACCAGCAAAGGCGCTGAGTGCAGGGCCCCTTGACAATGGCTGTTCTGGGTCCGAGGTGCCCCAAAGTGAACCGTGTTTCCAAAACAACAAGAACACACAGGACACAGGCTCCAACTGGAAACGGATTCCCGCAGCCAGAGCTGATGCCCCTTGAGCGTCAAGGGGAATAATCATGGTTTCAACTATAACCTATCTGAATGTTTTTAAAGACAAAAAGAGAGGCTTGAGCTAGACCTTTGAGAATGATGGGTACGATTAAGCTGGATGGACAAGGGAATTTAGCCACCGGGAATGAAGCGAGGAGCTGATAGAAGAGGCTTGGAGGGGGAGATTAGGGGTGGGGGCAAGGGGAGGCCCCGTGTTCGCATTAGCAGAGTGTAAGATTCCGTAGTTCAGACCACCAGCACCGGTCTCAAGGTGGAACTGGGAGTAGAGCAGCAATGAGGCACCACTGCAAGTTTCTGAGCAGGGAGATGTACGAGGAAATGGTGGATCAGGCACATGACCGGCAGCTGGGATGAAGGAGAGGAAGACGGGCAGTAGGCAGGATCAGTGAGGGGCTCTTTGCAGCGGCTGAGCAATGAGGAGCTGGGGGCCTGCAAAGCACCTGGGGCTGGAGAAGGAATGAAAATGGCTGGCATTTTAAAAGCACTTCCGAGGATGAACAGCCAGAGCTCATTCCCTTCCCCATGAAGAAAGGGAGAGCCCGTGGCTGTGTTTCTGGGCTGCAGAGAGGCGGGGCAGGGCCGGCGCCACACAAAGGACAGGGCACTGGTCTTCCAACACAGGCTGCACTCCAACAGCAGCTGATGCCTCCAGATCTCACAAAGGTTAGGGGCCACCTCCCTTTGGGGTGCTGTTGCTGGCCCATCCCAACCACCTTGAGCTCTGACAGGCCTCAGGCAAAAGGGGGGCTCCATGGTTTTCCTTGAGCTTCCACCCGTGACCGTGAGCCATAGGATGGTGTGCTGTCCCCCACACAATGCCTGGAACCTTCTCCCTGTGGAATCCCAGGGGCCTACACGGAGTGGGGGTGACGTCACTTCCTGACGGGGCAGGGAAGATTCTCAGGACCTGGCTCCGGAGTGGGTTCCCAGGAGTGGGCTCCCAGAGAAGGAGCTTGTCCTTCAGTTGCCCTGCAGTGAAGCTCGGGGCCGGGGCCTCTGGGTGGGGCCACCTGGCTGGCTCCACCTGGGCAGGGCCACCCTCTCTGCCTGGCTGGGGGAGGCCTGTGCTGCGGGGAGCAGGTCCCCAGGCAGCCTTCCTCCCCGGCCCTGTTAGCATGCGTACGGCATGGCTATAAATTATGCCCGGCGTGTTCATTTTCAGCTTAAATGTGTTCTCATCCCGGAGGAGCCACTAATGGCGTCAGGTTGCTGATGTGAACAGAGCCCGCGCTACAGTGACTCTGGATTAATGAAATGGCAGCCACGGCGGCTGGGGCGGCAATAAATCCTCAGCCACTGGTGACAGGCATTTGAAATTAGGCCCTCCACCCACTTCCCTTGCCCCCAAAAGGACTCTGCCGTGAAGTCGCTTGGTAAATGTTTACCGTTGGCTAGATGCTCGCTTTCTGTGAAAAGTTGACGCACGCAGGGCCCCTTCCTTGTAGGGGCCCTGTCCTTGGAAAATGGGGAGCCGGCTGAGAGGGATTAAGAGCCTATTATGCTTTCTCCAGGAGCCGTGAAGGCAAATCCCTTAATCCAGGATCATCACTGACATAAATTTCATTCAGAAAATTGGCAAATGCGGGGTTCTCTCAGTGGACTCTGCTCCTTTGGCATGTGAGACAGCCCCCGCCTTCTGTTATGGCTTTTCCTAATGAATTTTAAATGAGGAACCCAGAACTCATACGACTCAACACCAGGAAGACAAACAACCCAATTAAAAAATGGGCAACAGACCTGAACAGACACTTCTCCGAGGAGGATGTACAGAGGGCCCGGAGACACATGAAAGGATGCTCAGCATCGCTAGCCATCAGAGAGATGCAGATTAAAACCACAATGAGATACCACCTGATACTGATCAGGATGGCCATCATGAACAAATCAACAGACGGCCGGTGCTGGGGAGGTTGTGGGAAAAGGGGAACTCTAGTGCACTGTTGGGGGAATGCAGACTGGTGCAGCCACTGTGGAAAACGGCATGGAATATCCTCAGAAAAATAAAAATGGAACTGCCTTTTCACCCAGTGATTCCACTGCAGGGACAATACCCTGAGAATCCTGAAACACAAAGTCGAAAGAACTTATGCAGCTCCGTGTCTGCAGCAGCATTATTCACAATAGCCAAGATCTGGAAGCAGCCTAAGTGCCCATCAGTACGTGAGTGGATCAAAAATGGTGGTACGTTTACGCAATGGAACTCTACACAGCAGAGAGAAAGAACTCTTACCTTTGGCGACATAATGGCTGGCACTGAGACTGTTACGCTAAGTGAAATAAGCTAGCCTGTGAAAGAAAAATCATATGATATACGATCTCAGTTATAAGAAGAATCTAATGAACAAAATAAACTAACAATCAAAACAGAACCAGAGACATAAAAACACAGAACACACTGGCAACTGCCAGAGGGGAGGTGGGAGGGAGATAACGGTGGAAAGAAGGGGAAGGGATCAAGGAACATGTGCGAATGGTCCACGGACATGGGCCACAGGGTGGGGGTCGACTGTGGGAGTGGAGGGTGGGCTGGGCGGAGGACAGAGGGGGAGAAATCGGAACTGTAATAGAATACAATAATAATAAACAACAAAAAGTACCATCGGGTTACGTAAAGGAGGAAAAAAATAAAAATAAATAAATGAGTAACCAAAACAATTCCCACCAGTGTTTTCCAAAGGCAGGGAGTCTGTATTTCATTACAAGGACCCCACGGGGTGGGAATCCAGGAATCCCTGCTCCTGAAAGCATTGTTTATATGTAGACATTTTTCTAGAAAGAAGGTCTAAGGATCTCATCGAGTTCACTAAATGTTCCGGGACACCAAATCAGCATGAGGGCTGCTATGGTGAAATGCACGGGCGGCCACAGTTTCTCCCCCAGCAGAGCACATGCACGGTCTGTGGTGGGACGGGGCAAAGGTGCGGTGGGACCCGGCAAAGGCACGGCTGCACAGACCCCGGGCCGGTCCAGGACTCTCCAGCCCACAGTGCGGACGTGCCGAATCCTGAACAAAGCCCACTCGTGATATTCTGGTGTCTTTATTATGCATTCAAAGCCACTTGACACAAATGCTATGCCAGACAGTGTGCATTGGAAGGACAAGGGGCAGGGCTTATTCAGGCTTTGATTCCCCTTTTCCTAATAACCCAGTAACCATTCAACATGTATTTGTAGAATTGGGTAGAACTGGCCTCTCAAAAAAGGCTGATTAAGGCACATTGTCAAGGTCACTTGGTAACTCAGCAGGCGGCCCAGAGCACCTGGCTCCAGGCCTCAGCTTCCTGACTTATATAACCTACCTTGTTGCGGTGCTGTGATGGTTAGAAAGACTGTGAGCCTTAATGATGTGCTCAATACCTGATAGACAGTGGCTCGTGCAGAAGCAGCAAGGTCAGGAAAAGGCCGCAGAACTCATCAGCGTGCAGGAGACCACGCGTGTTTCAGAGATGGAAGTCATCAGCAGGTGCTTAGCCAGGAGACTGCAGTTCCCACTGGTCAGCTTTCTCGGCTGCAGACTGAGGCCGGCTCCTTCTGGTCGACCAGACACCCACAGGTCATTCTGCCAGTGCAGCCACACGGCCAGAGGACTTGCCATGCCCTCTGAGGGCAGGGAGCGACCCGGGGTCGCCGCTCCAGATCCTGCCATCAGCCTTGTACTCCTTTCCTTACGTATAAAGTCGGGTGTGGATGCAGGAGGCTAAGAATCCTTTGCTGAAGGAAGCCAAGGCCTTCGGTAATTACCAGGGTCTCACCTGAGCAGGAGGGACCAAACTGCTCATGCGATCACTGAGCCAGAAAAGAATTTACCTCTTACTTTTTTTTTTGCTGGAGGAGAAGAAAAGGTTTTCTGTAGTTGTCTACAGCAGAGAGGTGGAAAAGCAGGCCATAGAGTTAAGGAATAACAGAGCGGGAAGAAGCAAGCAAGCCCGACTTGAGCTGGAACCTACTCGGTGCTATGCAGATCACGAGGTCAAACCGCAGACCTAGGGAATGAGAGAAAAAAATTCAAGGAAAAAAAAAAAGCATGACATACACAAAGGCTCATAAAATGCTGAGGGTAAGGGAGTTCGAAAGAGCCATGAGACCTTTGGAAAAAAAACATTAACAACTAAAACGACTTCTTTCCAGGATCCAGGACAAAACTCCCTGTGTGAGAGACGTATCTGCACAGGAATAACGAACACAGACACCACTTAACACAAACAGTGAAGACGCCGTCTGAAAATCCTGCTTCTTGCCCAAATGGACAGAGCCTAAGGGGAAACAAATGTGGGAACACTGATTTTTCGCCCATTATTCCTGCATAATCCAAGGAGAATGTTCATGCTTATTCTGTCATGTCTGTAATGTGACTTTCTATCTCTAATGTTTGAGATTTTAAATGTTACAATTACCGATGCGTAAGCAAAGAAAATGATTACCAGATGGCATTTTCAACCACGTTTTTAATATTTATTATCATCGTGCTTCTCTACAACTAATGGTTCTTGTGGTTTGCAGACCAAACGCCTGCCTTGTTTACCCAAACAGAGCCTTCTGTCCAGCAGGGCAGGGTCACGCAGCAGACAAGACGCCGGTGTGCGGCCGCAGTGAGGCGTTCGATCGGGGTACGAGCCACCCTTCCCCCACTGGGCTCCCTCAGGAGGCTCTGATGTTGGCGCCGCATTCTTCTAAGAGCAGAATCAGGTCTTCCATCAGTCTGTGCTCTCTGCCATGTGTCACTCTCATGATGTCAAATGCCTAAGGGAGAAGAAAGAGGGCGGATGAGACCCCGAGGCAGGTGGGCCCCTGCCCGCTCGTCGTATCCCCACGAGAGCAGGCCCACCACGGCAGTGGCTCTGTGGCTCTCCAAGCCAGACCACGCTGGGGCCGGGGTGGCTGCTTCACGGTGGGCTTTGGAAAGCACACGCACTCAGGAGCCACGCTGGGGCCTGCGTCCAACAACGCCCGTCAGGGATTCGTCGGCGCCTGAGTTTGGAGAGCAGCTCAGAGGTGTGAGAAGTAATATTAAAGATGGGATAGCACGCTCCTACCACCTTAAAATAAACTGTCGTTTCCGCATGTGCATGGGATTCTCATCCACACGCACTGTGATGATGTTCATACAATTTCTTGGATTCTTTTTGTGTCATATATGCCTGGCATTGGTATATAAACAACCCTTCCCTTGACTCTCCGTGTTCGGTCCATCACTAAATCTGTGGATTCTACCTGCAAGATCTTTCTGAAATCTTGGTGGGCTGGTCACCGCTTCAGTAAAGAGTACAAGGGAAGCGATGCAAATAAGTTCCAAGGCAAAACCACAAAGGCCACACAGCCTCTGCCTGGAACCACGGGCCACGGTGCTGTGAGGAAGCCCGCGCCACAGGGACAGGCCGTGGCAGGAGTCTGGTGACCGACCCAGCCGGGCCCTTCTGCCAAGTCAGCCTGGTGTTAAGAAGCCCCAGATGGTTCCCGCCAGCAGTGAGAAGACAGCCGGGCTCCAGTCTGCCCGACTGCAACCCTCAGGTCCTGACCCCAATCACCTATGAGCATCAGCAGTGCTGGCTATACTCTGCGAACTTTGGGGGTGGTTTGTTGCAAAGCAGTAAAGGACCAGAACACCATGGAAACTGTTTTTGCAATAAGTAAACCCCAGACAAATAGCACTGTTCTGCGCTGACCCAACAGGGGGCTAGTGGGAAGGTGGGGGACACCAGATCCGTGGTATCCCATGCAAACCTGCCTTCGGGAGACACATAATGGGTTCGCCCTGCTGGCTACCAGGCCCCCAAGAAGCACCTGGCACGCAGTCCTGTGGCCTCCGCCTTGCCCGTGCAGCGGTACCAACCCGGGAGTTTCCAGAGAGACGCCTGGGCCCAGACCTGACTCATGACTCTGGGGTGAGACCTGGGTTCGGGGTTTCCAACGTGCCCTCAGGGCTGAGCACAACCGACAGAGCAGGCTCTCGACAAGTAACAGCAGAATAAGGTTATTACCCAGTGTTAGTTTACAGCCAGCATAATTACCATGGTCATGGCCGCGCAGGCCCAATTCCAGCATGTTCACAGACCATCATTCACTCGCTCCTCCTGGGAACTTAGATGACTTCCAACTTTGCTATGATATGATTGATACAGACCTTTCAGTGCATGATTTCTTTGGCCTGTGCTCATATCTGCTGAAGACACATTCCTAGAGGTAGAATTCTGGGGGTGCACATTTTCAGAGCCATAGGGACTTTCAAGCTCAAGTCGTGAGCCAGAGCCCCTCCGTAACCTGCAGCCCCTTTGCCTCTGAAACTGTTCCATTTAGGTTGGAATCAAGGACAACAGGCCATCAGAGGGGGTCTAGATTTAGCTCTGAGAGAGGAAGAGAGAGAGAGAGAGAGAATGAGCGAGAAGAGCAGAGAGGAAGAAAGGACTGCCACTGCAGGTGCTGGTCCCCAGCCGGGAAAGCTCTCTCTGCTCATGGGACGGGCCTGTAACCCTAACAGGCCCATCAGGCCCATCAGCCCCCTACCTACTCTGACACCCCAGCTGGGAACCCCAGAAGGTGGCTGGGACTGAGACTCTGGGTGGTGGGGACTTGTCTGCGAGTCCCTGGAGTGTGCCTGCCCTGTGGGTACACAGTATCTGTGAGCAAATTCTGGGGTCGGGGTGGGGTGTCTGGAAATGGAGAGGAGGGGTCCGGAGTGGCCCCACTTTGCAGGCAGCCAACCTCCGTGAGGTCCCTCGGGGCTGAAGACCCGTCTGACACTGCATGGGGAGCAAACGTCTGATGCGTCATCCTTCCCCCACTCTCTCCCCTGAGGCACTGCCCAGGGTCCTCCACTGGCCCGGACAGCTGAGGTCTGAGGCAGAGACCTGCATGAGGGCAGGATTATAGAGAGAGATCAGAGAGCTCCAGCCCATGCGGCTCATTTGGTTGGAGTATCATCCATAAACCGAAAGGCCGTGGGTTCAATTCCCAGTCAGGGCACATGATTAGGTCGCAGGTTGTGTCCTCAGTCAGGGCGCGTGCAAGAGGTCACCAGTGGATGTTTCCCTCTCACGCTGGTGTTTCTCTCCCCCTCTCCCTCCATTCCCCTCGCTCTACCATTGGTAAGTATGTCCTCAGGTGAGGATAACAAAACAGAGAGAGGTCAGAGAAATTCTTCATGGGAAAGTCTCTACTTAAAAGCTGTCTTAGATGTTCTCCTCCCTTCTATCCAACAGAGGCCAGAGGGGCTGGTGATGTGGCGAAGACAGACGAACAGGCCACAGGTACCGCCCGAAGTGCTCTTTGCCGAAAGAGCCTTACCCGTCCCCACTGCCCGACTCACAGGCGGTCCGGAGAAAGGCCAGGCCTGTGTCTCGGGAACTCCAGACCAGCGCTTTCCACCCTCCTGGTTCTGCTTCTGCAGGGTCCTCCACTGGCCCGGGTCCAAGGACTGCAGGGTCCTTACCTGGAGGATGCTCTGTGCTTCTCAGTGGCTTGGCCCAAAGGCTAAGTGACAACTGTCTTCACGTCACTGGGACAAGGTGAGGCTGATCTGCACATCTCCAAACATTGCAGGCTCCTGTCTTCCTCCCAGCCATACGTTTCCCTCCCCCGCCCCAGGACCAGCGCCTGCAGGAGGCACCCAGTCCTGCAGCCATTTGGAACTGCAGAACCACCGCCAGCAAGGGGACGCTGCCTGGCCGCCCAGGCCTCACTTCCCACCCCTCAGCACACTGCCCTACAGGAGGGCCACGAGGACCCTCTGGCCCAGCGTCCTCATGTCTGCCCTGAGAGGCCGACCCCAGGTGACCGACCCCAGGTGAGCACCAGCCCTCCCGGCCCAACCCAGGGTTCACCCACGACTGCAGGGCGCGGCCTCCGCCTTCAAACAGTCCTCAGTGACAAGGCGAGGGGCCGGAGGGTCTCCTAGGTGGGACTCCTGAGACACACTGGGGGACCACGGGTGCTCCTAGTGAAGATGCTGCTGCAGGTGTCCTGTGCACTCTCAGCTGGTGGCGAGTACGGCACTGGGAGCAAAGACGAGGCAGGAGGCAGCCCCTGGATGTGCGCACACAGGATGTGAGATACTGAGACTAGACGCCGGCAGGAAATGGGGTAGAGCCGGGGCAGAGGACTGGAAAATAAAATACCCCCATCATTCTTCTGGAAGGTAAAACTAAACGCAGAAAGAATGAACACACAAACACTGTCATTTTCCCCGAGTCAGGGGCGGGGCAGGAGAGAAAAGGAGAGAAAGATGAGAAGAATGAGAGGAGGAGGATTTAGTAATGTGACCAATACGTCAGTGACTGTCTTCCGCGTCTGCCGAAGACACGTTCCGCTGAGCAGACAGTAAGTTGAAACTCAGACCCACTGATGCGGGACACCTGTCCGTGGCCTGGATGCCACCTGGGCCTGGACGTCAGTGGGGCAGCAGTTCACAGTGACTTACGAAGGGAGCTCTGTGTGGTTGTAAGGCCCAGGCTGGCTCTCCATGGAGGGAGGAGGAGGAGGAGGGCTTAATTCCTCCCAAAAGAAAGACGCTCAGAGTGAATCTGTTTCCCTTCTCGCAGCCCCTCCCAACTGCTCACATGTGCACATCAGAGCGGACAATTTCGGTTTCATTTCCTGCAGCAGTATATAAAACAGATTAAGGAAATATAAAATCGGAGCCGGCGTGTGCTGAGAAAAGCTTATCTGTTCCCATTAAATTTTATTTTTTTAATGGTGGCATTTAACAAGAGCCTGCACGTAATCGTCCACGGGGGACCCATTGGGAGCCTCCGAGGGGGCTGCGGCGCCCGTGCGCTGACGCTAAATGTCACACGAGAAATGGCAGTGCCGACCGTCTGCCTCATGACAGGCACGGTTCACTCGGGAATGAAGACAGCGTCCCAGACCGATTCCAATCTCATCACTTTTTTTGTTGTTGTTAAAGTAATTTTAGAATTATGGTTGTACATTAAATAAAGTGAATTAAATCAGATTATGATTTAAAGTCACAAACAATGTAGCTTTCTTATTAGTTTTTTTATACAAATATATTAAGCTTATCGGGGATCTCATGTGCTCTCCACCATGAGCCCGAGGGGATCCCACAAATGACTTCCTCAAGCATGATTTAAATGCAGACATAAAATCAGAGGGAAAATCGGAGGGAGGAACTCATCTCAGGATGAGTGCCGGAGCAGCGGGGGTGCACGGGGCACCCAGAAAAGGACATGCGAGCAGCCAGACCCCCAACGCAGTGGGCGGCTCCAGCGCCCGTGGGTCCCCTGGGAAGGCCAAATGGCCTTGTCACGGGACACTGTCTGAGCAGCTGAAATGCGGGAGAGTTGGCCTTACCCGGAAAAGCCCTGGGGCAGCCGGGAGACAGGGTCACAGCAGGACCGTGTGGCACAAAGGTCGAGGAAGGAGCTGGGGTGTCCAGAGTTGGGAGGGGGACCTCAGAAGGGGTCACAGACCCGGGGAGCCTCCTCCCAGTGGGCGTGGCTACCCCAGAGAAGGTGCTGCCGGCCGGGTTGCTGTGTTCAGCTCATCCGTGGATCCGATGGATATTCACTGAGTGCCTGAGGGGCCCAGGAGAAGTCCCGTCTCCTCCCCGAGACTCAGTTTCCTGGACTGAATAATGAGGGGTTGGCCTTGACAAATTCTAGGGGCCACCAAGCCCCAGACACAGAGCTGGGAGCTGTCCCTTTAGTTTCCAAGACACTGCATTACTGATGTCTAATTTAATGTGACTGTGCCCCTCATAAAATTTATGTTCTATGACTTGAATC